TATATATATATATATATATATATATATTTCTATTAATCATTTTCGGCCTTTCGGCATTCGGCCAACTGTTTCCTATTTTCGGTATCAGTTTCGGCCAATAATTTCCCATTCGGTGCACCCCTAGCACACATAATTGTAACCAATAGAAATAAACAACTTACTTAGTCTTACGTCATTTATGTCCATGTTCTACCGATAAATCTACAGAGGGAAGCTGAATTGTTCAAACAGGGGCAGATGGTCGACCAAATAAATGCTGGATCGTAGGTGTTTGTAGAGCTAGTTCAGGATATCCTCTAGGAATATACGACGATATCGCCATAAAAGACAATCAAAGCAGATAAGAAGGAAAGCCAGTTTGTGCTGTAGTCTAGCTCGTGTATGCACTTTTGTCCTGAACAATGGTACATATATAGTAAGCTTCATAATCTTTATTTTCTAATTTTTGCCCTTTTTACAATCGAGGATAAAAAATTGCATGTAATGCAAGAAATTGTTAAAATACTAAAATTAAAAAGCTATGTAGGACTAACTATGCTCCGAATGCATACAAATGTAAAAGAGTGTATTTGCTTTACTCAGAGTTCATAGTGGCAGCACGGCCAAGTATGGTCAGGTCCAGATTTGGTGCTTGGCTGAACACATGATCCTCCCAGAAACCCTTTCTTCCTCCACTGGATATACCATTGTTGTGTATATACACAGAACAAGCTCTATTCACTGCTGTTTACCTTGCAAATAAGCCTAACTTTAGGACATGAGAATATAATTGTATAAAGTTTATATATTTGTATCAATATATAGAGTATACTATGCATTGTGTCATGCATGTTAATCTAAATGATCAGAAGTTCCATATTATAGCCATGTACTTTTCTTTTGAGTCCTTCATTTAATTAAAATAGGGATTCCAATCTAGTTATGAGTCTCCCTAAAGAGTTGACTGATAATATCGCTCAAGCAGATTGTTACAGTGGGCAGAATCTCCAGCAAGCATCGAATATTTGGGAGCATTTGGAAAGTGGGCGGTATCTGTTCAGCACCCTGATCGTATTCAGACAGAATTCAATAAAAGTAAAATCTTAAAAAAGGCCTTCTATGTTTGTGTTATTTTTTTAGACATAATCACAACATATTTAAAACCCTGTTGTTTGACGAGAAATAATGGTTTATTTTGTTCTAGTTTCCAGCTTGTGTAATAGTGTTCTAATAGGCACATGTGCTTTGTTAAGAAACACTTGCTCAAGGGCACTTGAACACATTATCAATGGTAAAGGATAGGATTTGAAAAGGCAACGTATGAAATATTAGAAAACATTCTGCGTAGAAATGCACCCTTTATTGCCTCCGGTATTTTTACCCAATTACTCAGAGGTGCATTCACGGATGACCTACATAGCTAAAAACATGGAAATATGTTTTTAACACAGTTTGACAGCACACCAGCAGCTATATAAACAATGCAAAGTAATGCATGTTTGTGTTTGGGCAGGTTTTTTGTCATGGCCAAAGAGGCTCCCTAATCAGTGCAAATCCCCTTTACATAACAAACGCATCACACTGGGAACCCTGCATGGCCAGAGCTTCCTGGGGGCAGAGAGGCTGTGAGCGTTATCTGTGGGAGAGCACAACACTGGGATGACTTAACAGGGACTGCTGATTTGAGGCTGAGTCTCACTGCCACAGCAAAAGTGTCAGAGTCCATGATATCAATGCATACGAGATGGCACGGCTCCAGAAAATAAACCAACTTTCCAATCTTGCTAATCCGATCCTGAGACTGGGCACCTATTAGACAACTAATAGCTGATTTGGCATTCCCAGGAGAGTTTTCACAATGTGCACATTGGTAGCATTACTGTATGCAGCCTAGTCAGTAGGGGTTTAACGGTACACGTACGAAACTATTCGGTACGGGCCCTTCGGTTCGGTACACGCATGTACCGAACGAATATAACGTTAAACGTAAAAAATTGAGAACGTGAACAACTTTTTGGAAGTAATCTCAGGTGCTGCGTCGCAGTATTCAGAGTAATTTGCTCACATTGGGTTTGACGCAAGTCATTTCATTGGACGAGAGGCATACTATGAGAGCTGGTCAGAGGGATGCGTTCAAATTTAGTCAGTAAGAGGAACTGTCGAAATGGCGAACGCAGATAAAGTTCAGCTCGAAAATCCTCCAACTAAAATTGGTTATAGAGATGTCACGATCCAATCACGTGATCGGGGATCGGAGCCGATCATGTGATTTTCAAAAGATCGGAATCGGGAGGAAAAAAATCGGGGATCGGGATTTTTTTAATTTTTTTTTTTAAATACTTTTTTTTAAATTATGTATTCAAGGTTACAAAACAAAAATTACCATGTTCAAGTCTTAAAGTCATCCTGAGGCCTTAGTTTTGGTTTCAAATTACAGAACATCATGTATGTGTTGCTTTTCTTAAAACATTGGACCGAAATAGGTCTTCAGTCTAAATCTAAGGAACTTTACACAATCTTATACGTGTATAACTACTCTATTCACCGTTAAACGTATAAATTTGCTACGCATAAAGTCTTTTGAACATTATGTTTTCTGTTTACGGACATAACATTCATTAAGTTGACCTCTCTTAAAGATCCGACTATGGAAATTCAATTTTTTTATGGGTATAAGTGGACCCCATACAGAGCGGAATTCCACGTCGTAAAAGCTACTTGAACTTTATTAGACATACAACTCTGACATGACATAATCATGGGTTCGTCGGTCAACTGTAACTCTGAACGAACACCAGTAACATAAAAGTACAAAAAAATTGCTTCTTAATTGATACAGGTCGGTCAACCCCTAACGGCTTCTTCCGTTCCTAGACGACCGCTGATTGCTTACAGAGGACGACACCTTTGTGGGAGCAGCGAATCCCCTGTCCCTCCATCGTCCTATGTCGGTCATCGCGAAACGGATTGTACCTTTGTATTCCTATAACCCCGCAAACATTTTATCGACACCGAGCACGACTTGAAAAACGCTGCACACACACCTCCGATTTACGATCGCCTCAACCCAACTGAAGAAAGAAAAAAGAAAAACCATGGCCCACTATAAGTGCCAAGCTCACTACGGAAAAGTTTAGTCACCCGTTCAAAGCTACATAACGGTCGGCCGCCATTGGTTAAATCCTCCAGGGCATTAGTGGAAAAAAACGAAGGCTATTGTAAACTACAAACTGTTAAACGCTATGGCTAAAAGGGCTAGGCTAGAAAATGACATCTACGTCAATTCTCTTTTTTTTTCGTAAGTTCACCGCGGACATCTCCAATAAAAAAAATAAATTTAACCTATAAGATAGGTTGTCCTAATATTCCGAAGCACAAGAAAGTGTCCGTCGTCAACCTAGTCATAGTCCACACGTCCGTAACCTAGTTTTGCTTCTTATTTGGAAAGTCATGAGCAAATCGAATGACGTGTTAATCTGTGGACGCGCCGGACGCGGGGTGGAGACAACGGTCTAAACTCTCTTTATTCCGTTGGTCCAGATACTTTTCGT